TCATCCGTCAAAAACGAATGAAGGTTTGCGTTAATTGAGAATGACATTTTTTAACCATGAAATACCACCGTCAATAGTGACATTTTATTACACAAAACATGAAATTTTTGGTTAGAATTTGTAATGTACCGTAAGGTAAATAAAACGATTACCGTCTTGTTTGGAAACGGTACCGAATATGTGTAACAGTTGTCGTGCGTTTAAGGTATCGAATAAGCTGAACACAGGCTGAAATTATGATCATTCTGAGGTGATCAATTAGTGAAGTAATGTTCAAATGCATGAACGGATGATCACATTCAGTAAGATCACACTGAAGTTGTGCAATAGGCGATCGTGAACATTAATGGGTAGGAAATTTACAATATTACTTCGTTGATATGTCTTTTTAATGACCATGGTAGGGGTAATTTGAAGTGGGAAATCAAGTGTTGAACTTGGCAATAGAATCAATACTGAGACGGAATGGAATTTTAGTGGACTGATTCGTTGAACGCGTGAAAACCGTAGGCTGCTGTTACTAGTGATCAACTGTTTCGATGAGTGCCTCATTCGAGAGCACCGGGCAATACCTGGTCTCTGCACCTTTTAATGAGGCAAGTGGCGAACGATGTCAAATGCAGAGCTGATCAATTGAATCAGAAAACGGTTATGTGGCACCGTTTGACACTATGTTCGCTGTTTAGTGCCAGAGTATGACATGCGTTCAGTATGGTTCAAAAATTATCGGAACTGTTTGCAAACGTGAAGTTTTATAAAGCTTTATGAAGTTATAAAGCTTCATTGGTCATAAGCAATTGACCGGACAGAGCATGTCTTGAATTTATAAAAAACTGCAGACGACTTAAGAAGGATACAAAAACGTACCGATGAAAGGATGAACACGATGAACGCTGAATACTGCCACATACTGCTTGAGGAGTTCATAGAAATAACAGAATCATCTGTGGATTAAACATTTCATTGAATCAAGCGAATCAACATACAAGTATAATACTTCCAGAACAATATAACCGATTTTTGATTTCATCGAACAATTGACTCGTCACATAACGTCACAATTACTGATTCAAGCAGTGAAATCATTACTTATGCAGTGCGCCAATTTAGATTCATCAAGCTCTATGTATGAAAAATGTTATTTGACAAGATTTACATAGCAATTGTTTAGGAATGGAAAAAGTTTGATGGACTAATTGGAAAGTGAAAGTTTAAAAAACGGTTCAGTGATAGATGGCGATGATGATTAAATATAAAGGTCAACAAAATTCATTTTTTGTCAGGCAGAAACAAGAAAGAGCAATTAATTAACGAATTGATTATATCATCAATTACTGATAGCGATCGAGAAGCTTATTGCCATTTAGTGCAATGGATTAGTGTATTATGTGAAACATTATATAGATGTTTCATTTGGATGTGAGGAGGGTGGAGAACACGACTGATGCTTTGGAACACACATTTAAGAATGGAAGTGCACACAAAAAGATAATTATTTAGAATTTGGAAAATGAATGTGGCCTGATTGTGAGAATCGATTGGCAATAGGCAGAACAAAAAATGATGAAAATTATCAGGAATGGTGAATAAAAATTAGAGAACAAGGACAGACTGAACGCGTTCACGTAACGATTGAAGCCAATTAGCAGTAATGTGACAATGAGGGTTCCAGTTCAACTACGGCTCTATATGAAGGACGGTGCGGAACGGATGAGTGAAGATCAATGAATTGAAAAAATTCAGTGATTCTGTAGCAAAACACTCCCACGTAAATAGCAAAAACTAAATTTCGGCATCTGAAGATATCGAATTACCATTGAGTTGATCTTCAAAACATTATTTTAAAACTGATTGCAAAGCAATCGAATATAATTGCGATTTGAAACCAATTTCCGTCAATAAATCGCTATTTATTTTAACCTGTTTCACTTACAGTCATATTTTGTGAAAAGTTATAATCGCTGATGAGAAACTCATACGCACTTCAGCAGAATATAAGCGTGACTAGTGAGCGGATCGTGCTCACGAGCCTGAGCTAGCAACCGCCAATGCGCTTTGGTCGTGAGCAATGAGCAAACTCTTGAGTCGATTTAAGCATGAGTCGCTCTAAAATGAGTTACTAAAAAATTTCTGCTCACGTTGTAAGCAAAGAGCAGCACCATTTCTCACTAAATTTTCCATCATTACTGATCATTGTCTAAGTTGAGCTCTTATTACCTAATTTCGCAGATGATGATTTGCAAGAAAATTGTTCTCCAAATGTTCGCCAATAATTCAAAATAAACATTACTTACTGACGGAATCTCAAAGAAATCCTCGGTGCACACTAGCCAATGAACAAAACCGGTCTCATTGGATAAATTCAAAGCGCGGATAGTTTAACAAAACCACTGGACTATTGGTGCCAGGAGAATTATTAGAGAAGCATTTCGGTATCATGAGGTTAAGTTCACATTTAATTGGATCAGTCGGAACTTTTTTGTATATATCAAAGGTTGTGCGTCGATTGATCAAACGAGTGCAGAACGAATTCGTCATTATTATCATGATCGTTGAACAACACGATAAAGGCGAGAGTTAATGAATGTGATATCGGTGTCAATGCAAAAAATTGGCCGATTGCAAACAGAACAACCGATGAAAAATCGCTTTGTTTCGTGAAACGTTCGCTGATGAAATATGAAAGAAATTGTTGCAAGGAGCCAACGAAATAGAAATATAAGCAAACGGAGTAACGAGAAGAGTCGTAAAAACAAAAGCAAAAGCAACAATTTGTTGTCGAATTTATATGAGCGGCAAATGATTGCATTAATCAAATGAATACAATCATTATAAATAAAACACTGAACAATTGGATCGTTTCATTACCACTGTTTCACGTTTTTGTATGTGCGTGTATATAGCGATGCACAAAACTGACGATATGGTTACGGTTTCACTTTGAATTTGTTTATAGCAGACAAAAACTGGAACATGCACTGTAATCGGCGAACAAGAAATGTTTCGCAGTTTATCGATGAAAAACAAAGATACCACAAATGTACAAGACGTTTCGTGTTTGCGTATGAAAATGTGTGCTCTCTGCGTGCTAAAGTTCAAGGAAATAATTGATGATTTCAGTTGTTGATAGCAAGAGCATTGTTTCATAAGAACAACTTATCGAAATCGAAACTTTTCAAGTGGCTTCATCCTTCAAAAACACAGCGTGGATAGTTTCAACTGGAACTTAATTCTAAAAAATCCCTTGGAAGAAGGACATAACATATGAACTCTTGTGATCAGTGATTTATTTTGGTCAGTTCTCACTGTGATCATTAAGGATAATGATTAATGCAAAATGATATACAAATACTTTATACAAATACTATCAATCAGTCTACAAATACGAACAAATTTTCAATTACAAGTTTTGCGACCCGCTACAGCCGTAGTTTGTCTCACAAAAAAATGCTTTCCTCAGAGGTGTGTCTCATTGCAAACCCAGTATTTTATGTGTGGCATTTGCATTACCGCTGATCAAACTCAATGATTGTTAAATGAAAGATAGAAGATGCAATCGAATACTATAATCAGAGATAATTCTGTAATTGGTAATTGACGCATGCATACCTCAGATTCTTTATTCGTATTTATGAGAAAATAAAAGCATTTCACGGTGTGCTTATATTCATCGTTCATTTTTGATGATCAACGTAACAACAACAACAACTCGAGAACACTTCAAAGGATACATCAATCACTCCATGAAGTGGCCATATTATGCGATTGGTTCACTCCTTCCAATAATCCCCTATTGCAATTTATTGGGTTGCACTCATCGCATGCATCTTCTGTTGTAAATGTTTACTTCTTATTATGATTTGGGCAATATTTATCAATTCANTTGGCAATTAAATTCTCAGACTCATCGCACCAAAACATTACACTCACTCTCGAGTGGCTTTGATGATCTGCTAATATTCTTCCTGGCAAAGCTAAAGAGAGCATTTCATTAAGTTTTCCGTGAACACATGGTGTAGTCTCAGAAGGCGTATTATATGTTTGCACTTGAATGGATATCATCCAACGCACCAATTACTAATTACGACTCACTTCATTGCGTTTCATTTGCAGACATTTTGTTGTGTGTTGTATAGTCAACGAATTGATAACGATCCAACATTTATTCCTTCAGAGTCACTACAATAACAATAAAAATAACAACCAACTGCAAATACTTCCTCTTGATTGAGATCGCCTACTGAAACTTCATATGATCCAGTTCCATCGAACAGCAAATTCTCTTCAACCAATATCTCCTCACCATACCAATTCAATTACATCGATACTTTTTCTTTCAAACGATTGCAATTAAAGGAGTTGCACAAACATTTCGGCATGCCGTTTCGAACTCATTCAATCCACATTTATCGCCCCATAAATCATTTAAAATTATTTTAACTACTCTCTTCAAGGGAACAAAGAAGAATTCGTTGGTATAACTCAAAAAGCGCAGACGAGTGTTTTATGAAATAGTGTTAGGCTATTTCAAAGGTGATTAATGCCCCCAAAAACACATTTCAAAACAATTTTAGTGCTGCAATGACTTTCTACACATAATTCCGCCTACAACTGCGAAAAAATCCGAATCAACCATCTCACTTCAAAATCGGGTAGACATAATCATAGGTCTGCTCGGAACAAAAAACATATATCTGCATTGCGAACATAACTCTTCAAATGATGATAAAACAATAAAATGAAACGATTTAAATGAATACAAATTGACTGAATGGTGAGAAAAAAGAACATTAGGTGAATGGAAAGGTAATGGGGATTAATGGGATGTGCATAGGAAGACAATCTCATAAATATCTTTTTTTTGGACTGATACAAACAATACTGTTGAACGAGCTTCGTCTCAATGCAGCGAATAATACAAAGTAGATAACGAGTTGAAACACAAGGGTTCTTGAACATGATAAGACAATCTCAGAGTTGATATGACAATAGATTCGCTTTCATTTCGAGGTATGAGCAATCTTTTTGACCAGTATATATGCACTATCCGGTTCAATCCTTTTATAGTATTTCTCAGCCGTACCGATAATTTCGAATCCAAAGCGTTTGTAGAAATCGAGCGCTGACTCATTATTCACCTGAAACGATAGCAGTTAACTGGAACTGAAACTGAAAGTTGAAACTGAAACTGAAATTCAAGTTATTTAGATGACAGAAAAACTTTAATGCTTTATGTGAGGCGATGAAATGTAGAATTTCAATAATCTATCCATAATTCTTCCATATCAAAAGCACAGTTTGAAGTTTTCCACAAAAAGAGATCACCAAGAGTTTATACCTGTACATGTAAATAAATATTGTCAATTGAGTGATCCTTTTCACAAAGTGACATCACGTGCTTCAATAGAAGTGTGCCTATACCGAGTCTGAAACAATAATCACTCATGTTTNAAATCTCATAATCCATATTCGGTGCAAAAATTTACTCGGGCGAGAGGGGGAAGAGATACATCATCTCAAATGAATCAGTTCGAATAGGCAAACATTTTTTTTCAATCCGATGTAATGACAATGTCACAAAACTAACTCAAACGAATGAATAAGGAAACGTAACCTTCGATAAGGAGCAAGAGTACCAAGTGTCATAATGTACAGTCTTTTAACGCCTTCTTCCACATCCAAACGACAGCAAACACCGCCCACAACAATATCGTTGAAATAAGCCAACTTCGCTAATTCACCAGCCGAAGCAATCTCTTTATAGAACTTATCGTTGTAGTAAACCGGGAATACAGCCTGATTCAGCCGTTTCAGTTGCTGAAATGAAATCGCTTGATTATGAAATCACTCAAAACACTCGAATCATCCATCATGTCAATTTCAATCCTCAAAATTCATAAACCTACACCAAAATAAACCAACACAAAAATCAGCGCAAACAAACAACAGTTAGTATCATCATAACAACTACTGTTTTCCAATAGTACAATACCGCTCAAGTTGCAACCACTTCACAAAATACAGCCAACAAGCAAACGAAACCACCTGCACATTATGATGAGTGACATCGCCCAGTTCCATATCACATCTACCAACACAACGTCTTTCAGTCGTTGAATTCAGTTCGATTTTTGACAATTCTTCACTTGGATCTTTTTGCTCGTTTGATGCAGCTATTGAAGGAGCCATTACCCTTGAAATGTGCTATTTTCGGGGCAATCAGTAAGGCTCGTTCAAGTGGTTAAAGCCCATATAGATGAACTTCAGCGCCATCTAATCGAACTGGGCCCGGTTTATGCATAACTTCACTTTCATGCGCTTCGAACTCAGTCTCAAGTTATCGACTTTCTATGTGTCATAACAGCAAGGGTAGAACTGCTTTAAGAAAGAAATTGCGTCAAGAGGGATTTTTCGGCGAGGGAATCCCCATTTCTTTGCCTCTTCTCATTTTTAGGGAGTGATATCAGAAGAAAATCCCTATCACTTCATAACCTATCATAAACAGAATGAACGATCGAAACAGGTAACTGACATTAAGAATACAGTTCCGATAAAACATTGTTAAATCTTTCATAAATCACTAAAATGGAACTCGAAATGTTTATTTGTTCGAAACAATGAGCAAGTTTAAGTGACAATATAGTGAAAGTAATAAAATGAGATACATGCTGAAACGATAGTTGATCATATAAAACACGGGAAATGCACAACGACAAACAAATTCAGAGTGACAAAAATAAACGAGATCCGACATATTTCAGAACGGAAATCAGCATGATGAAAACAACCGATATTGGAAAACTACAATGAAAGTAAAACATACTTACATAAAGAAACTAAAACGTTGAAACGAATGACTTCATAAAACTACTGGAATGAATAAACTGATAAATACAATAAAGTATTCTCAATGCACAAAATCGATATTTGAGGAATGCAACATTCAAAAATGATAATTTTTCGTAAACAATGAAGAAAGGAAGACCTCATCATCATTGTTCATGAGCAAATGACATAGGGCAATGAGTAAACCAACAACAAATTCAATAAAACAAGCAGTAAATGCTCTGCGGAAGTGAATGCATCGGAAAGATTGAACAATAAGTCATCAGAGATAACTCCGTTGCCGTAAGCGTAAATCGACTTTATTTGAGAGCAATTACGGAGCCGTTGGCCATCACACTGAACGATTCACTAATTTGATCCGTGAAAATTTCTTCGGCTAAGGTCTCTTTAATATTTTCTTCGGTTGATTCAAAATCGCACCATCTATCCTCATCACGGTACACCTCATCCATAACAGCCTTCGTCAAATAATAACTTTCTGCTGATGACTTAATCGCTGCATCTCGACATACAGTCTCCCAACGAGTTTTCACTCTCGGCTTTGAACAATCTGAACGTGTTCAAATAGTCAACTGTTAGATTGTTTAGCAGGACAATATTCAAACCAATCAGAAGCAAACCGCTGCAAATTCATAGGATTGCACATTAAGAATACTGATAATTCAGTGTAACAACAAATACATCCGATCCGAGTATTTATCAAATATGTGATTGCTCAACACGACAGGCAAATGATAAGAAAAAATGGTAAAATTTACAATGAAAGAGCACAAAATACCGCGCATAACAGAAAAGCTTCATTTAGGTGATACTGAATGTACGAGTCACATTTGAACACTCACCAGGACAAAGCACATTCAAAATGTTGTCGCGTAAGATATTCTCCAATTCGAGTTGACTTCTAGGTGGCACTGCTGCACCATGATTCATCCAAATATTACGCACATCTCTTGCAAACGCTCTCGACACTACTGCACAACATTCATCTGCTATCATCTGCCTGCAAAAAGTTGAACAAAAAAATCGAATGTCACATAACACAATCGAACAAAATCAACGGACAAATAAATGAATACCTATCAAAATACTATTGTCCTCGCCAGTAAGATACTCGACGAAGGAATTGACGCTAAAGTGTCGAAGTATTTACAGAGTTATTTTGCTGTGTATTTTCTATGCATTACTATGGATGTGTTCATGCTTTAGCTATTTATTCATTCGCTTATTAATGCATCGATTTCATTTGATTCTATTATTATAAACTCTTACAATGCAAGTTCATCTATTAATTTTTCATCGAATTTCATCAATCCATCACATCAGATCGTGAACTGAAATATTCAACAGGAAAGCTTCTGCTCAGAACTGATTTCATTGTACGACTATAGCAATTAACCGAACCGACTCAAAGATTTCCCGAATGCAAATGCTCATCAAAACTGCTTACTTGTATGCAATACTCGCTGCATGCTCATTCTCATCTTTATTGCATGTCGCATCAATACACAACGTTTCACCATTAGTGAACTGTTGCCAAATACATCCAGCATATTCCCTTATAAGCGAACATATTTGATCTCTGTCATCGCGGTAGTATCTGAAACTCAGATATGGGCAAACTCTCAGAAAACTTTGTGACGTATCAGTAATAAAATACGACTGTGCATTCAGAAATGCTGCGTGGCGGCATCTGGAAGAAATCTCATTTCTCATTAACGCTGAACAATTGCAAACTTTTTATTCGACTCCTCCACTGAAGCTAGTGTCTTGCTTTGAGTTTTCTTCGGTACAGGTGTATCGCATGTTAGATCCGGTATACCAACAAGGCGCTGTTTCTCTTCAGTGACTCGGTGAATGGAATCCATATCACTCAATTTGTTTGATTCATCGTTGCTGTAAACACCACTTAAATCCAATGGCGTAAAATCCAGAAGGTCTGGTGGCTGAAAGTAGCGATGCGGTATCGAGTAATCTGTTTGAGTCTTTTTTTATTGTTTGAATTGAATCAAACGGGTATTGTGTCGAAATTCAACAATACTTGATAACGCATAACAATGGAGATCGAAACGAAGGATACCACTGAAGTGCATAACAATTATGTGAACGATAATATGAGTAATAATGTAAAAATATTAACCACTGGAATATTGTTCAAGTCGTATTTGGCACTATCATTCATCCAGGATTTCTCAAGTACAGACTGCGGACCAATTCGTTCTTGATCTGTTCGGCTTATCTCTGACAGCACATTCTCAGCGCTATTTTGTTCTTGGAACGACACCGAGTTCTCGAATTCCTCCTCGGCGACGGACCTCTTCTTCTCGTTCATAGCCGTTAACATGGTCAGTAACGAGTCGTTGAGTGACTGATCGAGTAATAATTTACCCAATGACGACACAACTCTTCCGGATGTCACTCTCTACAAATCGTCGTGATTTATCCAAACAAGAATATAACAACTCTAACTAAGCAATTCGATGTGAACGACGGGTATTTTAGAATCACAACTCACTGATTATTGAACGACAAGAAGAGAATTACGCTTCATAACAACGCTTTTATCAAACTATGCTGTGAACAAAATTCGACAGTTCTACCAAAAAAATTCGATGTTGTTTTCTTCCTTTTCTCAGCAATGTTCATCTCATTCGAATTATTTCTTATCAAAATTATGTTCTTCCAGAGCGTTCAATACAAAGTAAAGCGACATACCGGACTTCGAGGAGTACTGTTCAAGCTGCGTGGACTGCGGTTGCGCGACGGTGAAGGCATCACTGTAGCGAATCGAGTTGCTAAAGGGGATCGCGGTGAAGCAACATTCAGCGGACTCACCGTTAAAGCGAATCGTTTGGGCGTATTTCGTTTCTGGAATTGAAAAATTAACGCTGATCACTTGCACGAAGACACTGGAGGAATTGAGATTTGAGAATTATTTTGCATTAAATTTCGGCAGCTGTTATGACTCGAACTAAAACGCCAAAAACAAGCTAACCGTCGAAAGCGATTCAGATTCATCGTCCGATTTGATTCGGTCTCTTCCAAATGATAGCCTTTGCTGAAATTTTGTCTTTTGACACGACTATATGAAAGTGATATAAGTTCGAAAAGAGATTTCTGATGACTCAGCGTAATCATTTCTGACTGAAATGCAAAAGCGTATACGACTTACCGACGTGTTATTGAGCACAGAACTGTTGATATCTTCAGCAAGCATTTCAGGAGTGCGATCCAGTATTTGCGC